CCATTTAATGCCCCACCCACACTAGTGCCCCGCCCACACAAGTATTCCGCCCACGTGGATGCCCCGCCCACGCGACGCCACGCCCCGCACGAGTGCCACGCCCACATCTGAGCTGCGCCCATCTGCCTGCACACCTGCACAAACGTGTAAAGCGCACCCAGGGGCAGGATGACCACGGCGAAGAGCGGTGTGCTGAACACAATGACCACGAGGGTGGAGAGGGAGGTGAAGAAGGAACCGAGCAGCATGAGGATGTTGGGCGCCAGAACCTCATCGATGACGTAGATGTCTTTGGAGAAGCGGTTGAGGACACGGCCTGAGGGCGTCGTGTCGAAGAAGGACTGCGGCGCGCGCATCGTGTTGTGCAGCAGCGCCTGGTGCAGCAAGCGCGCAGCCTGGATGCCTCCTACCGCCAACGTCATGGCCGACAGCATCACCAGGAGCCCTTTTGGAGAAGGCAGGGGGCGCTGCTCACCTGGGCCCGGACCGGCGTGGAGGCTTGGCCGCAGGGGGTTAGGGAGGCTTGGAGGCAAGGGTCCCGCTTGGGGAGACGGGCAGCCCAGGGGAGAAGGGATGTTGGAGCTCCTTCTAGGCACCCCCAAAGGCCCACCTTGCAGAAATCCCAAGGCAGCGTAGACGCCCAGCCTCTGGGAGGTGTTGTTCCGTCTTTCCTCCACCATGGCATCATTTGCCCAGTCGCTGAGCCACACACTGGCCCAGATGGCTGCTGCACTTTGACCTGCATACAGGAAAATGATGACCAGGGTAGTCCAGAGCCCCACAGCCTTGGCGTAGTCGCAGAACACGCTCAGCTTCACCTGTAAAGAGTGGCCATGGCAGTCAGGAACAGGGGACTCCATGAGGGCCTGCCAGGAGCCTGTCCACCCTCTCCAGCCCCTCTTGTCCACCCTACTCACGGTGCCGGTCTCTGCTTTCTCCTCCTCAATCAGCACACCACTCGCCTTCGCCTCTGCCATCTGCACCTTCTCTGATGGACTCAGGCATCTCCGGGACCCAAGCCGGCTCTGGCCTTCCCCATCCGAGGACAGGGTACTCAGCTGTCTGTGGAGGCAGCTGGTCAGGCCTGGGAGGAGGGCTCTGACCTCTCACCCCAATCAAGTCAGAGGCCCAGAGTGTGAGGGTCAGGGAGCATGTACCCACACCCCACCTGGCAGGGCTTGAGGAGCCCTGACACAGCTCCCAGAGGGCTGGGAGCTCTCAGAAGCTCACCTCATAAACTGCTTCTGAACCTCATATGTGACTGGCTCGCTATCCATCAGGTCTGTGTGGTTGCTAAGTGTGTCTTCGATCAGCAGAATTTTCTCATCCTCTGCAGCGGGGTAGGAGGAAGTAGATAGAGTTTGGCTCACTCACTCTGCTAGCCCCTGCCCATCCCTACTCTAAGGAAGGCCCTGAATGGAGAAGTATGAGACAAAAGGGCTTAAAAGGACAGCAAGAAAGACTTGGGTTAGACAACAAGAAAGCGTCCCTTCAGGTCCCTATGGAAAAGGGGACTCAAATACAAGAGTTAGGAACTTGGGCTGTGGAGTCAGGCCAGCGGCACTGACATTCCACTTTTAGGCCAGGTACGGTGGCTCACTCCTGTCATCCCAGCACTTTGGGAGGCTGAAGTGGGAGAATTGCTTGAGCCCAGGAGTTTGAGACCAGCCTGGGCAACATAGTGAGACTTCATCTTTACCCAAAATAAAAATTAGCCAGGCGTGGTGGTGTACACTTGTAGTCCCAACTACTTGGGAAGCTGAGGTTGAAGGATCGCCTGAACCCAGGAGGTGGACTGTGGTGAGCTGTGATTATGCCACTGGCACTTCAAACTGGGTGACAGAGTGAGACCCCGACTCAAGAGAAAAAGAAAAGGAATACCACTTCCTTGCTGTGCAAACTCAGGCAGGTGTGTAAAAAAGGGAATAAAGGTACTTCCCTCATCACATCCTTGTGAGGATTCGAGGAAAACATGTCAAGTGCTGAGCGAGGGGCCCAGCACTCGGGGAGTGCTCGAGACATGTTTGCTATACACGTGGCTGTGGGCAGGAGAGCCCAAGAAAAGGTCTGTGAGCCACTCTCGAGCTTGGGACTGGGGAGCCAGGGCTAGGCCACAGCAGGGCATGGGCGTCTTGTGAGCCCAGAGGCTCCAGGCTCCAGGCTGCAGGAAGATGGGGTTTTTTTAATTGTTTGCTCACTGCCATATCTCAGTGCCTGAAACAGTGTCTGGATATAGTAATTGTCCAATAAGTCTTGGTTAATAAGTAAATGGTTTTGCCAAGCACTTGCACGTTTGCCAAACAATTTATCTGTGAAACAGCCTTACCACACAGGCAAGAAAGAAGAGAAAAAGAAAAGGAATCCCACTTCCTTACCCATATGTGCCTTTTTTTTTTAGACAGGGTCTTGGTGGCTTTTTATTTTAGAAAGGATCTTGCTGTCACCCAGGCTGGAGTACAGTGGCGTGATCAAGGCTCACCGCAGCCTCCAACTCCTCGGCTCAAGGGATCCTCTCATCTCAACCACCCAAATATATAGGGCATGCCACCATGCCTGGCTATTTTTTTTTTGGTAGAGACTGGGTCTCGCTACATTTCCTGGGCTATATGCTTTTGACGATGGGAAAACTGAGACTGTAAATCCTGAGCTGCCAATGAAAGATCCCACAGGCAAGAGGAGGAGGTGGGACTCAACTATGTCCAATCGACTTTTCCTCTGGTGACTGTCACACAGATGGCCCAAGTTTTCCAGCACCTCCCTGGTACGACACTGAGCCAGTGCAGAGACACAAAGAGACCCCAGACACGGAAGATGCTCGGAGTCACAGGGCCGAAGGTGGCGGGTACCTGTCCTGCTGTCCTGAAGCTGCTCCTGGTCATCGTCGAGGGCGTAGTTTCGGAGGAAGTTGGCAAAAGAGCCGTTGCGCTGCAACAGGGCTTGGTAGGGGCCCATCTCGGACACCCGCCCGTCGGCCAGCACAACGATGAAGTCTGTCTGCGGCAGGAAGCTGATGCCATGCGTCACCAGCACCCGAGTCTGGAGAAGGCAGCAGGCTGTCACCCCAATGCCCTCAGCACACACTTCCCGCCCAGACACACAGCCAGAGAGCGAGTGTGGGATGCCCTGTGCCTGGGAGCGTGGACAGGCACACGAGCGATTCACCCTGCAGCCTGCTTGGCCTCGGGGGTGTGCACGTCCACGGGCTTCCTCTGCCGTTCACCCCTATGGCTGCTGCTCAGGACCCCTGCTCTCTCCAGGGCTTGCCCAAAGCCCTCAGCCTCCCACCACTTCTTTCCCTCATCTCACCTTTGCCCCCTCAGCCTACAGCAGGCCTCACCTTGCCCGCCAGCACACCTTCTGGCCCGATGACTTGGTCGAAGATATGCTTGGCTACATGAGAGTCTACCGCAGACAGCGGGTCATCCAGCAAAAAGATGTCCGCGTCACTGTAAACAGCTCGAGCCAGACTGATCCGTTGCTGCTGGCCACCAGACAGGTTAATGCCCTACCAGTCACAGAAAGACCAATACTGTATGATTCCACTCACACGAGGTAGCTAGATGACAGGGTTTGAATATGTGTCCCTTCAAAAGTCATGCTGAAATTTAACCCCCAACGTGGCAGTATTGAGAGGTGGGGCCTTAGAGAGAAGATTGGATTGTAAGGGCTCTGTTCTCAGGAACAGTTAATCCACTCACGGATTAATGGGTTAATGAATTAATGGGTTATAGCAGGCGTGGGACTGGTAGCTTTTTAAGAGAAGAGAGAGGCCAGGCACAGTGGTTCATGCCTGAAATCCCAGCACTTTGGGAGGCTGAGGCAGGAGGATTGCTTGAGCCCAGGGTTCGAGACTAGCCTGGGCAGCAAAGTGAAACCTTGTCTCTACAAAAAAAGTTTTTAAAGATTAGCCAGGCATGGTGGTATACTCCTGTAGTCCAGCTACTCAGGAGGCTGAGGTAGAAGGATCGCCTGAGCCCAGCAGACAGAGACTGCAGTGGCCATGAGCGTGCCTCTGCACTCCAGCCTGGGAGACAGAGGGAGAGTCCTACTCAAAACAAAACAAAAGCAATAAGAGAGACTTGAGTAGCGCACTCAGTCCCCTCGCCATGTGATGCCTAGTGCCACCTTGGTACTCCGCAGTATCCCCACCAGCAAGAAGACCCTCACTAGATGCAGCCCCGACCTTGAACTTCTCAGCCCTCTCACTCTAAAAAGTAAATTCATTTTCTTTCCAAGTTACCCAGTTTCAGGTATTGTTATCAGCAACAGAAAACAGACTAAGACACTAGAGGAGTCAAATTCCTAGAAACAGAAAATAGGGGCAGGGGAGTTAACAGGTACAGAGCTTCAGTTTTGCAGGATGAAAAGGCTCTGGAGATGAGTGGTACCCCAGTGTGACTGTACTTAACATGCTGAGCTGTATGCTAAAAAATGGGAAGATGGTACATTTTATGTTGTATGCATTTTACCACAGTTAAAAATAATTAATTAAAAACAAACACAAAATCTTCACTGACGTCCCATGTTTTTTAGAGTAAAGGCCAAGATTATAATCACGGTTCTGCCCCACTCTGTCTCTTCCTGCTATTTCCCAACCTCCAGTTATTCCAAAGTGTGCTGGAATGCCAGCCCAGGTCCACCCACTGTGCCTCGGCTCACCCTCTCCAATGGCTTTCCATCATTCTGGGTAAAAGTCACAGTCCTTAAAGGGGCCAGTAAGGCCCTAAATGACCTGGCTGCCTGGTCACCCTTCTGGCCTCATTTCCTCCTCCTGACTACTTCTTTCACTCTCATGACCCCAGAGAGGGCTCCATGATTCCACACAAGGCCTCAGGACCCCACAGAGCTCCATGCTTCACACTAGACTCTGGGGCTCCAGGACCCTGCATTGGACTCCATGATCCCACACTAGACTCTGTGATCCCACACTGGACTCCATGACTCCATACAGAGCTTCATGGCTCCAGAAAAGACTCCAAGACTCCCAGACATGTCATATTTTATTTTATTTTATTATTTGATTTTAATCTATTTTATTTTATTTTGAGTTGGAGTCTCATTCTGTCACCCAGGCTGGAGTACAGTGGCACGCTCACGGCCACCGCAGCCTTGACCTGCTGGGTTCAGGCAATCCTTCCATATCAAGTAGTGGAACTACAGGTGTGCCACCATGTCTGGCTGATTTTTTTATCTATGGTAGAGGCGAGGTCTCATCAAGTTGTCCAGGCTGGTCTCAAATCCCTGGACTCAGGCAATCCTCTCACCTCGTCCTCCCAAAGTGCTGGGATTACAGGTTTGAGTCACTGTGCCCGGCCCCCCAGACATGTCTTTATGGCCCTAAGACAGAGCTTCGTGGCTCCAGACAGGGCTGGCTCTCTTTCTTTGTCTAGGTCTTTGACGCCCATGAGGTTTTCCCAAGTTACCCTAACAACTCAGCCCTGAAGGTATTCCTATATTCCTTCCCTGCTTTATTTTTTCCACTGAGCATTTATCTAACATTGATTTTACTCATTTATTTTGCTTATTCTCTCTTTTTCCCACTAGAATGTAACCTATGTGAAGGCAGAGATTTTAGCCTGGCGTATTCCCTACTGTACAACTATTGCCTGGCATATAGTAGGTGCTTAATAAAAATCTGATGAAAGAATGATTGAACAGATAAATGATGAGCTCTTCTCCTTCAGTTGTTAAGATTCAGCTTAAAAGCGAAGCTCCTGCTTATGCAGGTGCCCCCGTGCCCTCTCCATACCCTGCGTAGGTCTTCAGGCTGGCCCCTGGGCATTCTACAGCCCCTACCTGTTCATGAGTGGAACAGGTAATAGAACTGCTAACAGATCTGTTTCTCCAGTCAGTCATGATTTACATGAGAGTGTGAATGAATGAATGAATGAATGGATGGATGGACCTGGGCTGAGGCGGGCAGCTGTATGTACTGGCTTCTCGGGGCTGGGGGGGGACCTTGTACCTTCTCTCCAATCTCTGTCTGGTCCCCACCAGGCAGCATCTCCAGGTCAGCCAGCAGGGCACAGGTCTCCAGAGCCCGCTGGTAGCACTTGGTGTCCAGGGCTTTGCCAAACAGTATGTTTTCCTGAAGAGTGCCGTTCTGGATCCATGCCTTCTGGGGCACGTAGGCTATGGAGCCCTGACCACAGGGAAGGTTGACCTTGGGGCTTGCCCCAAACCTGGCCATGCTCCAGGCCCTGCCCGGGAGCCCCGTCCTCTCTTACCTTCACGTGCACCTTGCCTTCCAGCTTCTCCATCTCTCCCAGCAGGGCAGACACCAGGGAGGACTTCCCACAGCCTACGGGCCCCACCACGGCCACCAGTGCCCCTTTTGGGACCTGGATGTCTAGGCTGGGGGCAAGGAGCCCGGGAGTCCAGTCAGAAGCAGGGATCAGAGCTTTGGTCCCCAACCCTCCACCTGAAGAACCAAGCCCCCCGCCCCCCTCCAGACACTGCCCTGGCAAGCTGAGGCTCTTCTTGCATCGCTGATCGAAGACGCTGGGAGGCGGGGGTGGTGCTGCTATTGAGCTGACCTTCAGGTCAATACTATGAGCAGCTGAGAAGGGAAGGGAGAGACTGGTACCTGTGCAGGGTGGAGGGCAGGTCCTGAGCCCAGGTGAAGGTGCCGCTGTGTATGGTGATGGCATAGCCTGGGAGGATCAAAGTGGGCAGGGTCAGGGAGTCCAGGGCGTGGGGAAGAGGATGGGGGAGGAAGGCCTGGGCCAGGGGGAGGCAATTCCTGGGGGGGGAGGGAG